AATTTGAAATGTATTACAGTATACTCTGCGGGGAATAAAAATCTGTCTTCCCGTAAACGACCCGTAAAACTTGGTAACTCGCTTTCGAAATCAAATCCGTCTGAAGTTCATGAATACTGCCCTTTAATGTGTGTCCTCGCCATGAAAATGCAAAACCCTAATTACTAGTGACGTATCTTCTGGTTCGAACAACATAGTCCCGGTTTGGGTCGACACTAAACCCCAGCTGACTGCAAAACACGGCAGTTAAGTGCCGGATTGAAGAAGATTAGTAGCGCTCAAAAAAGCTAGCGCCAAATTAGTAAAATAACACATGCTTACTGTTACGATTTAAGTAGGCTGTCGTGTAAAGTAAACAAGAGCACGTTAATCCCTATAATAGATTGCTACCGACCCAATGTAGTTGGAAGCGTGGGGTAGGCCGAACTTGATTATCCTGATGATTAGGAGGGAGGAAGCAGATGAGAATGGTAATAAAGCGAACTGTGAAGAAGGGATGACCCTTGAAAACCTCACCAGTCAAAACCGTCGGCACTTGCCGAGGGCAGAACCGCTACCAATCCCACATGAATAAGTGCCCTGTGTTGAAATGCAACTTTATCCCAAGCTGTAGTTTGTTCATATGCAGAACTTTCTGACTGACATCGGATCCTAGCTAATGGACGCCCTCGTATTTTTTGCAAATCCCCCAGCGCCGTCGCTCAATCGGGCCTTTTGACAATTGGTTTCGCCACATGTTCGCCCAAAGCAATCTCTCCTAAAACATCCCCAGGACAACGTGATCAGATACAACTTCTGTATGGTACTTCACTGCAAAACACTAAATTTCATTGCTATTACTTAGAATAGCATCTACAAAGGATTCAGAGTTACGCCTTTTGGTTTTTGGTTTGCCTCTCAGGTGCAGTCACCACACACTTCGCCACCATTCGTTTTGTAGCAGCGGTCATAATAAGTCTACTACTAGATGACTGAGTACCTCAGTACCATGAGACATCAAGCCGTCCGTATAGCAGTCTGGTTATCAGGGAGCATTTCAGGCAAACATAAGAGAGACTAGGAAAACCATTTCCATCATCAGCCAGGTATACTCAACCCCAAGAGGCTCCAACCCGCGACATCTTCATCCGAAGTCTAACGCTCTAACCATTGAGCCACAAATTCGCTGTCTTGCTGGTTTTTGATCAGCTGTGCGGATAGTAATCTAGGCAGATAGCATATGTCTA